AGGCAATGCAAGAAAGAGAGTAGTTGCTTACGTTCGCCACTCCGTTAAAATACTAAGGCAAACGTTCCCTCTAGAGAAATACATATTGGGATGGAAAATTGGAGTATCAAATGATACTTCAGGAGGCTTCAATGGATAGCTTGATGAACCTGTTATCTAGAAGGAAGGACGAGAAAGGAGAGATCTTTAAGTAAGTAATAGAGTCATACACATTCAATTCTCTACACTCAGCATGTCCAGATGAAATGTGACTAGTTTGCGTGTGCAAAGTGTGGATCTCTTTCTATCTCGAGATTTCGTGCCATATTACACACTTGGTCTTCATTTTTATGCTTTCCAACTGCCTAGTTAATAGGGGGCTTTATACTTCTGAATTGAGTGTGAAGTCCCATTTGGCAAACACTTGTCAGGCCTTTGAAATATGACGTCTCTCCACTTCTAAATCCAAATAACTCTAAACAGTTTTCTCCCAACAAACAACATTGGAAGTGCTTAAGAGATGAAGTTGTATTTGTCATGCAACTTATACATGAACCGTTGACTGTGGCCATGGTTTTGGATTAAATAATTGTATATTTCTATGAACTGAAATTATTGGTTAAGCAAATTCCAATTCATTTCACAAGAATTTCGACTATATGTTGCTTTCAATTACTAGTCACTGACTTATTCTAACTGACTTTGAGCTTATGCAGCCGAAGTCGGTACCTATTATTGCCACAAAGGCAAAGTCATTCACATTATCGATCTCTTCCAAACACCAATGCACTGTGGCTATTCAATTTGCATTAGTACACGAATTTACTTGGTGAAATTGCAAAAGGCTTATCATTGATTTTGTTATGAAGTTATACCAATTATGGCCGATCCAATTAACTATTGCACCCACGCAATGAGACTCCCACACTACAGTTGCAATATTAATTATGAGCACACAAACAAGGAGGAAATAAACTCACCGTCATGTAGAAGGTGGCATGTGCGTTGAAACCAGTTTTGGGACAAAGGGAAATGCGCACTGACATGTCATTTATCGTTTCAATTGCAGCCTGACCGTCTGTCGATGAGTCGATGGTCCGGCAGAGATGTTGCACGTCCTTGAAGAAGGAGCGTTGGGAAGTCGATGCCACAGCCATCTAGGAGGTTCTGAAAGGAAAAGTAGCTTCAGTCTTCTCCACTTTGAAAGACAAGCAGAGTAAGAGATTTCGCAGCTGATGATTGCCACACGTCTTTAACCGAAAAAATAACTACCATTTATGATTAATCCGCAATCATTAAAGTCACTTCGGAACTACTGTTAGGCGGGTCGCAATAACTCAAGGAAAGTGGAAGAGTGGTCGGTTCAGTAGGGTCAATGACTGAATTGGTATTTTAGAGTTCATCATGAACTTTGATCAACTGGAAGGAAGGCGAATAGTAAAGTAAAATTCGTTGCATCACCAAAGCAGATGGCATGACCGCTATGGAGGAGGGGGAGGGTTGGGGGGTAAAGCAAGTTGGGTAGTGTGGATAGTGTTTAGGTTTATTGTTTCTTCTCCCAACTACGGCCATATTCTTTGGGCGTTTGTCATCACTGTTGCTTACACAATCCATCTTAAGTTACCCAAACTGGCAGGGAGACACAATAACTCAATCCTACAACTATCCCATGAGTAGAAAGGATGCACACAGCGGAAAAGGATATCAAGCGATTTAGAAATGAATTGTTTTCAGGTAAGAACAAAGTGTTAAAGTAGGAATGATGGCAAAATTGTGCTAAGGTGAGGTGAAGTAAATTGGCAATTTTCATATGGCAATCTGAAACGATGAGTGGTTTGAAACTTCTCAATTGAAATTTCATCATTACAGTTTCTCATCTCATAATTGAATCTGTACGTTATGATAATAAAATAAAATGCATATATAATCTTACAAGGTAGTTACAAGATGATGCCGAGAACCTGTTTGGAGTTTCTCAATTTACAGGCCCTCTTATATTCGTGTGTGCTATTTCAAGGTCACGCAAAACTGACAACTGTGCAATTGGAGGAGCTTACGTATGCATGGCTGCCTCTACCCACTCATTGCTTTGCATTGCCTTTGGGAAATCAAAGCATCGATGTTAGTTGATGCTAGATCATGAGTTGGAATAATGAGGCGCCCTACTGGAACAAATTGCATCGTGCGCAAGGGGGCATTAGCAGCCAGTGTGCTAATGGTCTTGTGTTTTCATTAGCCAA